GGTGGGTAAGTCCCTGCTGCCCTTCACTTAAAGCAAAGAGCACATTTTTGCCCCAAACAGATAATTTAGGTTCAGCAAAGCAGTTGCCCTTTTCTTTTTTTTTAAATTATCAAAACCTAATGGATAAGGAAACTTTTTTTTCAAGAGCTCTGACTCAGGTTCTGGTTTTGGGAGGGGGAGGGGGGCTGGGTTTTTCTGAAGTCTGAAGTGACCTTGCACAACCTCACTCAAATTGGAAAGGCCTATTTTCTTACAAGTTAGTCTAAAACTGTTAAAGGAAAACATGGTGAATTCTTAAAAAGAGCAAGTTCCTATCGATTTGCTTACAGTGGAAGTAGTTGCATGTGTCCATATGTGAATTTTTGCCTTTTTTTTTCTCTTCATTTTTCATTGGGGGTGGAGGGAAAGTGTGGGCATGGAAAGAGAACTTACTTTTTTTCCCTCCTTCGTTTTGCAGGATACAGGACACCCCTGCACAGCCAGTGATCCAAACACCTGTCTCATGCCAGTATCTCCTCAGCATTTCATTGATCTCTTCAAATTCTGAGATGTTCAGTAGCTGTTCTCCTGTGTTTGTGGCCATTTTTGTGAAGTCAGGCAGGATACGTTATGCTTTTTTGTGCAATATATTTAAGTGTAATGTTTTGTTGTAGTTTAAAAAAAGAGATACGGGGGAGATTCTCAGACAGGTTTATTTGGTGTATTGTTTTTGTGCAGAAAAGAGCTGAGGAGGAGACACATTAAGAAGATTTCTTTGTCAGGAAATCTGCAGTGGACTTGTTTTCAAGTCCAAGAAAGACCATTTTAATCTTAACTTTAAATCCATTCTTTTGACGCCTTAATAGTTGGTTAAAATTATGTGGGGGAGTTCTGGAAATTTCATGGAGGAGTCCAACTACTCTTACAGGGACCAAAGGAGGGGTTCTTTTGTTAATCCCTCTTTCTTTAAGCCACTGTTTTCAAAACACCTCCATATAATTTGCACTATTATAAAGAATAGACCAATATTCTCTTGGACTCTGAATAAATCAGTTACCAAGGTGGCATTAATCATTGTGAGCTAGTGAATAAATTACAGCTGTGGTTGTGTCTGTCGCTGAACCTATGAATGAAGGAAATCAACCAAGCTTTGTACATACATTATGCAAAAATATTTATTTTTCTTAAGGACTTTATTAAGCATACATCCTATCTCAGCACATCCTGCATAACTCAAGAGACAGATCTGAGGCTACTGGAAAGTGATTTTATTATGGTAGTAGCTACAGCCTTCATTTATACTGTTTGGTATGTCTCCAAATGCAATTGCATTAATTCATCTTCTAAGAAGAAGACATTATTGAAATTTAATGAGAAGGAGTTGCTTGTTTCTAGACTAGTACTGTGGCAGGACATTATGCTACCAACTGAGGTTCTAACCTGACAGGTCTCTACAAGCTGTGGGAAACATGGAAAATCAGTCTGAGCTGAATCACCTTCTGCCAAGTTAATCAGATAATTCTCCAGGAAGCTGTTTTCTTCTGTCCTGTAGAACAAAATTAGTTGCTTGGCTTAGGCAGGTAAAGGAAAAATTAGGGAAGTTTTGAGTTTGTCAATGAAATTTAACAAATACTATGTAATGTACAGAAAAAATAAATCAGGTACTATATGCTGCACTTGCTTGTTTTGAATCTAATTTTGTACAGTGTAATAAATCATGTTTTTATCTATTATTCCTAAAGTCTCTTGTGCATAGAGATGAATCAGTTTGAATTTTCTAAGATCTTTCTGTAACCTCTAGTAATTGTTAATGGAATGAGACGCATACATGCAGTGCAAGTGCCATTGCCTTTCAGTAGTGGTTGTATTAGCACTTTTTTAATAGGATGGCTGGACTGTTAATAGGCTGCTCACAAAGAGGAGAATATTTACTTCCTCAAGGGATAGTTTATTTGCTTTAACTTGCATTTCAGTGATATACCAACCTTAGCCATTGAATTTGCTGGTAGGTGGATTTTTCAGTACAGGGTTTTGTGGGTGGTTTCTTCCTTTCCATTAAGGTGTCTTCTATGGCTATGGTAATGATCAGGTGTGGAGCCAATGACATCCCTCCTTATTCCTGTTCCTTCAGAACATGGCTGCAAGACTCCCTTTCCCAGCCCAAGCACTGCTGTAGCCACTGGATTTGTTAAAGAACCGGCAGCTGCTCTTTAACAACGATTTGCCTCCCATTTATTTAACTAACGTAAGGGTTCCGGGCTTGCTTTCCTGCCTATGTGACCCAGGTAACCCCGACAGTGGTTGGTGATGGCTGGCATCCATTAATCACTCCTTTAAGATGGTTACAGTTTTGCTACCCTGCATGAAACTTCGTGCAAACAGCTCTAGGGATGCTACCTGCTTTCTTCAAGAGCTTTAGAGAAAGGTTCTGAAGTCAGCGTTTGGTTTCATGCTGTGCTGAGCTGTTCACCCGCCATGCCGGCTGAAGGTCTCAGAGCAGGGACTGTAAGGAACCATCCCTCCTGCAGACAGAATGCAAGCTCCTGAGGACACGCCATTGCCTAGGAAGCTGCCTGTTACTGGAGATGCAAGTAATGGGAGAAGCGGAGAAAGGTAGTGAGAGCTGAGTAGCTGCTCCCCAGCCTCTAAACTGAGGGGGGAGAGAGGTGGCTTGTAAGAAGTTTTAAAAAAGGTTTGGAAAAATTGGTACCTGTAATAACTAATTTTCACTTCTTAAAAATGTCAGGTGACAGGAGTCAGGCTGAATCTGCCTTTCCCTTCCACCCCTTGCTGTCTGCTTTTTCTTCTGTGGCAAAAAGCCTTTCACAGGCTGCAGGAGAGGTGCTGAGGTGTTTTCCTGTGTAGGCTATGAAGGGCAACGAGGCCCTCCCCCTGGTCTGAGGTGGCAGTTGCTAAGGTGATGAGAAGCCGGACTTGAGCTTGTAGTCCTGTACTCCAGAGGCCTTGTTCTACAGTCACAAGAGGGGCTGAGGGTGGAAGGGACCTCCTTGCTCAGGCAGGGCTAGCTGGAGCTAGCTGTCCAAGGCTGTGTCCAGGCGGGTTTTGAATGCCTCCAGAGAAGGAGACCCCACAACCTCTGTGGGCAGCCTGTCCTAGTGCTCTGCCACCCTCACAGTGACACAAACTGTTTCCTGGTGTTCAGAGGGAACCTTCTGCATTTCAGTTTGTGCCTCGGGTCCTTTTGGCAGTGCCCAGTGACAAGAGCCTGGCTCCATCCTCTATCCACCTTCCCTTCAGCTATTTATAGACAAGATCCCATCAGCCACTCCCAGCTCTCTCAGCCTTTCCTCGTAGGAGCAATGTTCCAGTCCCTTCATCTTCATGGCCCTTCACTGGCCTCCCTCCAGCAAGTCAGTCTATGTCTCTCTCACACTGAGGTGCCCAGAACTGGACACAGTACTCCAGGTGAGGCTTCACCAGCAGAGGGGAAGGATCACCTCCCTCCACCTGCTGGCAACACTTCTCCTGGTGCAGCCCAGGATACCATTAATCTCAGACAAGGCCACAGCGCTTGGCTTATGTTCAACTTGGTGTCCACCGTGATCCCCAGGTCCAAGAGCCAGGGCCGTGGCTTTTTAAACCTTTCTTCCAGATTAAAAAAAAAAAAAAAAAAATAGGATATGCACACATGCCCTGGGATGCATTTCAGTGCAGGACTACTCTAACTTAAAAAAAATAAAATAATAATCTTGAAGTCTTTGAGTGCAGAATCACACTCTCAGGAGCAGCGTTAGAAACTTTTAACACTTGGCAAAACTGAGCTTTGGGAGTAGTTCTACAAGCTAGTTAAATATTTAGTAAATATATTTCTTAGACTTTACAAATACCAGAGCTTGATGAAAAGTGACTATATGGTGTGAAATCATCACATGCAGAAGAAGATGATAGATTTTAACTGTGTCACCTAAGCAAAAAGCTGTGGCAGTGATAGGGTCAGTATTGTGGTGTTTGTTTTTTAAAATCTCTTCATGAAATGGCAAGGGGAGAGGATTTCACCTTCAGGATATAATCTTGTTAATATCTCACCTGTAGGAAAGAACATATTTTGACAACCTGAATTAATCTCATTGCCCTTCACACCAGTGCTTACTCATGTAGCCAGGAGTGTTGTAACCCATGAGAAGGGTTATGTCTTCAAGTAAAACCTCCACTCCAGCCTCTTGTATGCTGGCTGTCACACAGAAAGGCAGGCACACGCTCTCTCCTAAAGCAGGGATCGTGCCTTGAAATGTGTCACATCACCACGTTTCTTTTGCTGAGCGGCTGTTGTCCCAAGACCTGGATCTGTTTATATATAGAGATTTTGCTGTGGCAATGACAGGAAACCATGTTCTAACTGTGGCCCCCACATGACTACTTCCCAATCTCAGGTGCTTCAGATTTTATTGAATTCTAGTCCTGAAAAACAACACTGACCCAAAGGCAATAGAGACATTCTCTGCTCCCCTCCACAAGGAGCTTGCAATTACAGTTTTGAAAGACAGGACCTTCCTTCCACCTCCTGTGGAGGGTTGACCCTGGCCAAAATGCCAGGTGCCCACCAAAGCCGCTCTATCCCTCCCCCTCCTTAACTGGATAGGGGAGAGGAGAAAAGAAAAAAAAAGAAAATAACAACAGGCTTGTGGGGTTGAGATAAGGACAGGGAGATCACTCAGCATTTACCATCATGGGCAAAACAGACTCAATTAAAGGAAAATGTGATTTATTACCAATTAACTCAGAGAGGAGTAATGAGAAATAAAACCAAATCTTAAAACACCTTCCCCCCACCCCTCCCTTCTTCCCAGGCTTAACTTTGATCCCAATTTTCTCTCCTTCCTCCCCCCAAGCGGCACAAGGGGGAAACAGGGAATGGGGG